ATCTGAAATTCAATTACTATATCACAATATTCAGGCAATAAAAGTCGTATTTTTTCTTACATGTTGCGGCGTATAAGCTGACATTGTGAGCATTCGCTGGTGTGAAAAAATCTTCCGCAATAGAACAATCATTGAAGAAACATTTAGCTTGGTCATAATCAGTGCATTGATAATCATCCTCACAGTAAACATTTAATACTTGCTTGCACTCTACCTACATGAACAGAATGAGCGAGAATTCCATTGTAACTAAAAAAACATTTTCGATTATTCACTTGGTTTATAGGATCTGTTAATGCAAAAGACTATTTTTTTTTCTAACGTCACAGTTCCTCGTCCACATTCACAAACTCCGTCAATACATTGAGTGTTATTGATATTTCGACAGTGGTGATCAGTTCCACATATATCGCCGTAGTCTACATCAATGAAAAAGATTAATTAATAATTTATCATCTAAGAACATGATAATCTGTTTTACTAATTGCAGCATAAAGATTTGAGTTATGAGCGTTTGATTCGTCGAAGAAATCCTCAGGTAATACGCATCGTTCCAGAATACATTTGGTGCCCCTTTCTTCACAGTCAGAATCATCAGCACAGATTACGTTTGTAACCGGTCGACAAATGTTTCTGTCCAGCCAGTAGCCTCTGACGCACTTACATTTTCCTGCTCTGCACTGTGATTTATCAAGATCACTGCAGTTTTCGTCAGTTCCGCATCTCGATCCTATTTCTGGAAAATTGAAAGCTTTCATGTAAGGCTGATAAATTAAAACCAATCAATACTCACTCTCTGCACGATAAATCTTGATGACTTCAGTATTTGATGATGAGAAGAACGTTTCATAACTTTGACAGATATTGGAAATGCAGCCCACCTGATCGTTGTCATTACAGTCGTTATTAGAGTCACAGGTCGCATTGATACCTCCATAGCAGGCATGATGTTTATTCTTTCGGTGGAAATAATTAGGTAAGCATTGACAATAACCATTCCGATATTCGGTATACTTCAAATTCTTACATTCTTGATGTGACTCACATTCTTCAAAGAGATCTGGAAAGCGCAATCATAATTATTTACTTTATAGTCATCTATCAGGCTTGATGAACATTAATACATACCGGTAGCATATTCAATTCTCTTGGTTCGATAGGATGCGACATCTAGTGATTTTAGTGCTAATATTGCACATACCAAAAACCACCATCTAACCATGGTCTATTCATTTATGACTGCAGCCAAATTAATCAACTAATGTACTCAAAATATTATAAAATTAACTACTCAAATATTATTTCGTTCTGAATGTTTTTATATACGATCTAAGATTCCGCCTACATTTTTTTTAACCAATCAAAATTTATGTCGCAGCTAATTTAATGTTCGTAATCAGCATTTCAATGTAGCGGTCGCTCGCTTCCTAATCGTTTAAAAAATAAAGTCATTATAGTTTCTTTGATAAGTTCTAGTTATCCCTGATTAAAAAAAAGTATTGAAAAGTATTGAAAAAGTATGTAATTCAATACTTTTTCAATACTTTTCACACACTGTATATCTATATATACATACAATATAGATATACAGTTGCATGGTTCAATACTTTTTTTAAATCAGGGATGACATTCCAATTCTTAATTATTTTTTTTTCTCAATGAAATTTTATTAAGTTGAAAGATCGATTGATAAGAATAAATTCTGGTGTAAGAGTGTTTTGAAAAAAGCAATTAATTTCATTCATAATTTGTTTTTTCAACATAAATATAGCAATATACAAAATGACAGAAAAAATTGATAAATTATAGAAGCCAAATATTTATGTCCAAAGGAAATCTAACTCGACCATTATTAACAGTAAATCTAAATCAAAATATTATGTTTTTCATTCAAATATTGAGAGCAAATATTTATTAATTGCGCTATGATTATTGTGTAAATTTATTACTTTTTTTTAATCATTACGCCATTTCAATTTTTAATTATTTTGTTTTTTTGCTTAATTGAATTTCAAAATGATAAAGAATTCATTATTAGAAATCAATTCAATAACACTGTGCTGCACATTTTCGTTTTGAAATATATATTTTTTTAAATGTAAAATATGTAAAAAGTATACTTTTATAATTTTTTAGAGTTAAAATTCGGCGACACTTCCAGTAATGGTCTATACACGAGAATATGCAAGAAATTAAGTCTAATTATGAGTAAGCTAGCAGCATTCTTAAACTTGATCCAGTTAAAGCAAGAGTATTTTGCATGCGCAGAAATCCTTAAAATGAAAGCAATAGCGTGAGCGAATCAGTATACAACGACGCTCTGTCTCAGTTGCTTTTATTAGAATTATCTTTGTCACTTTACCAAGTTTATATTTACTCTTAGCGAGCCTCTTAAACCTAGTGAGTGTAGTGAGAATCCTCAGTACTTACCCCCACTCTAGTTTTCTCTCTATCCTTCTCTCTCATTCTGTCACACATTTTCTCCCTTTTCATTTCACTCTACTCAGGCAAAGTTATTCAGTTCATCCTTGTCAACTCTTTTTAATTTTCCGTCTAATTCGCTCGCTCATATTACACATTGTGTGTTGTCCTTTGCCACCCTTCATTCATCTTCCCCTTTCCGTCGTTCTTGCCCCCACCTAGCACCCCTCCATCGTGACCCGCGACTCATGATTTTCAGAACTATGTTTCGTCCTATACTGTTGCAGACAATCTGAACCCTTCCCCAACCTCACTTATTATCTTTACGACTAGCAAGATGGAATTAAACATCGTGGGGGCATATACCCAAAATGTAATAATATTCATTACTATGCTAATGTCACGGTTACTTCGTGAAACAGTCAGTTATTGCGAAAAGTTTATGAATATTTTTGTTATCTGTGAGTTAACATACAACACGAGCCTATTTTAATGTTTGCTGGATGATGACTGAAAATGAAGACAAATAAGAGGAAGAGAGGCTAAGGGGATAAGACTCACCACTCGGATATCCGAAGCTTTTTATGGCTTTAATGTAGACGAAGAAGAGCTGGAGGAAGAGAAACTTGACTAAAGATAGGAGAGGATCAATAGATAATTAAAAAAGTCAATAGATAAAGAAAAATTGCGTTAAATTCATGACAATTATTTTTATTTAACGATTTATAGACTCAAATTTTTACAATAAACATGCGGAAAAAATTAATTTTGTGAAAAAAATTTATAAACAATTTCTAAAAATGACGGTACTTGAATAGTTTCATAGAGATTAAGTTAAAATTTTTTATTTTGTCAGTAATTAAGATACACATGGGTGATTTTCTGTAAGGATGAATTTTGCTATCCCGAGTATTTTATATTAGAAAAATTGTTATTTTGGTACTAAAAAAAATTAATCTACAGACTCGGTAGAAGTCTGGCGCCAAGTACCGTTCAAACGCCAGCCTACCGAGTACTATACCGTAAGCAGAGCCTGATTTTAGGGTTAGAAAATTCTATATATTTATTATAATAATTATATTAAAAGTTATGTTTTTTAATAATAGATTACATCTTAATAAACTGTTAATCATATACTTTTTACATACTTTTTAATGAATTCTATTTTTAATTAATAAATTTAAGCAGCACAAACTATAGCAACGTAAATTTTTAGTTTTGGAACTTTTTTCGGTGCAAAATCTGACATCCATAGACTATAAAAAATGCTTATGTGCAGTAATTTCATAGGTAGACCGAAAACTCCAGTCTAAAATTGAGTTTTAACAGTTTCTATTTTTACACACTAGAATACGACGCGAGAAATTTTACATACACTGTAGTAACTGGATAAGTAAACTTTAGGCGCCAAGTTTTAGAATGCCAGACGTAACTATGAGATTATCTGTTTCGGTCATTAAGGGCTAGATTTTTTTATACAGGATTAAAATTATTATATTTCATAAAAAATATATTTATGATAATAATTTAAGGATGTGTCCACGTTCATAAGACTCATTTCAATAACATTGGCACTTTGCAAAGAGATGTGAAATCCGAACAAAAACAGTTTCACTGTAAAAAACCGCGCCAAGTCCACGTTCATAAGACTTCGAAAAAAATTAATCATTTTTTACAAAAAAATATGAAATCAAAAAAACTCCAAGTACTGTTTATAACTTTATTAAAAATATGAAAAAAAGTTAGTAGCAAGTTTAAAACTTAATGAAAATCTTTTTAAATGTACTTGGCGTGCGTCATTGAGTACCCCAAATTTTTAGAACTTAAGATATTAACGTTTTCTATATGTTTGTGCACATGAAATTAAATATCGCTCACGAAAAAATTTGGGCCCTTACAAAGAATCACTCATATATAGACTAATTTTTAAGAACATGTAAAACAGATAAATATTTAAATTTTGAACAAGATACTGGGTCGCTTTTTAATAAAGTAATTATGTTATAAAATATTATGGAACTTGTCAAGAATGCGTAAATAATACTCCATCGTAAATTTATTCTTTTATTTTTAATTTTAATCGTTGAAAAAAAATAACAAGATGATAAATAAATAGGTAGTATTCGCGCGTAAAACTGCCTTATCTCAGGACCCATTATGTAGTCAACTAAATAAACTTTACTATAAAGAAATTACTAAAAAACCTACAACCAATATAATCTTTAAGATTGATTTATTTTTTTGGTTACTCTTTATTTTAGCGCAGATTACTTATAAGCTAGAATTATTAAAATGCTAGGTTAGGGTAGAAAATTAATTATCAACAAAAAATTTCATTTACTATACTTTGATGTAATAGGTCGCAAGAGAATGCCAAAAATAAAGTATCTAGTTTAATTTTCTTAACAGTGTTTAGAGTATTTAGTCAGTCTGATAACCTTCTTGAGTACATTTTACATGTGTTTTAAATAAACGAACTGATATATTTAATTGGCATAATATCACAATTATAAAATTATCAGCTATCAAACAATTTCTGTAGTGTACATATTTTTTTTTTCATTTTTCCAAATAGAAAACTAAGAATGTAAGGAATCACGGGTACAAACTAAATTCCGCAAGCAATTTCTTCGCAATCTATTCTCGTCAATTATAGAATCAACTTGACGTTTAACATTCTGAGTGATTAGCAAATCCGTTGGAGAGTTGTAGAAGTCACTCATTTTGTCAAAATCATCCCCAACAGATGAAAACATTTTGACCATCAGATATTTATTATTCGACCCACGACAGACCAATGGAAACCCATCTTCTGGCTGTAATTCAAAGATTCCTAATTTAATCTGACAGAGTGATTAATTGTAGCGAATTAATTGTTTTATACTTACAATAGTTGTTTTTAGTAAAGAATCATAACTACGACCATATTGATCGATTCGAGATCCTTCTCCATCTCTAACTACAACAACAGTTTCACCGGTTATTTTAGCTTTGTAAAGTGTTTTGATGAATGCACTTAAGCAACCTTTAAATATTTATCATTAATTAGTGAAATAATTTAATCCTAATTCAAACTTAACATGGCCAATCACTGTTTACTTACGTCTATTTACACAAATATCTGTATAATGAATGTACGGAATGTGACAATCATCACTGTAGTAATTATCACCGTTTGTCAACTTTATAATATTATCCTCTGGGTCCAGTACTTTTAATGATTCATTGAGAATCAATAAAATAAATTTATTATTTTTACGCACTATTTTATCGACTTTCACACCCGTGCATTTTGATGGACTGTACCGAGTTAAAACGCAATTGGTAAAAACCATTAGATCTGTTGTACTTAAAGAAAGAAAATTGAAAATTAGTGTGTATAAAAACGTGAGGATCGGTTTTTATTATCATTTAAGACTTACTCTGCAAGACGTAACTCATTAGCTACCATAATAACTCGGTCGTGAATAAGAGTACCCCAGTAAAAATCTGAATTAAAAATATTTCAATGTATTTTCATAAAAATAACAATAATAACACTATTAGCATGATTATTGCGATGATGATAATTAGTATGATCAAAATGATCAAGACAATTACAATCAAAATAAATTAATGATAATATCAACGATTATAAGCTTGATGATGATATACACGGGAAGAAAATTGAAGGAGTTATTACTATTTTACTATTGTAATTTTTACTAAATAAAATAGTAACGGTGGACTATACTTCTCATTTAGTAATTTTTACAATCTACTATTGTAAATTTTATTCAACAAATAAGACTAACAAGAGTTTTAAAAAGTCGAATACTATAGAGCAAATTATACAATATGTGTTTGTGAACTTTACAATTCAACTATTGTAAAAATTCACAGTTGGTTTTTTTAAAAGAAATATTAGGGAGGGAGAGAGATAGAAGGTTGCACAAATTGGTACCTGTACAGTAATCGAAAAAAGAAACAAATTTTTTCGTGCTATCTGGGAATCGAACCCAGAACTCTGTGTTGGTAGCCAGAGACTCTCCCTTTAGGCTATCCGCGGTAAACTAAGACCCACGTCCTTTAACATTTATATAAACTCAGAATCTAGCGCTGTGCACGGCCATCACTCACACTAATTGAGAGACATTCCAATTCAACTATTGTAAAATTTGCTATAGTTCTATTGGAAAGATACAGAGGCAGCACTGGAAATTTTCATCTCTTACTTTTTACAATAGTAATATCGTATTTTTTCAGTAATAAATAGTATTTTTTCTTCTAAAATATTTGATAATTAATAGTAATAAAGGTATAGTCCAGCTTTACAATAGTTGTATCGTAAATTTTCCCAGAAATTTCTTCCCGTGTAGTTTATAACAATACACTGAGAAAACAATTTATTTTAATCGAATGAGACTTGTTTATTATAAAGAAATCTCTTTTTTAAATACCACCAATTAATCCTTATTTGACACAATTAAATTAATTTCGATAGAGAAATCATGCTCTGTAATATAGTAAATAATATCTGACATATTTTTAGGGTTATCAAAGCAATGAGGATGAGTTTATTTATATGTATAATTTATATTGGGATATCTTCTAATAAACTAAAATTATTAGATCCGAGTTGGATTTTGATAGTTTTTTTCTATCATTAAATTCATTAAAAATTTATGCATACATACAAAATTACTCAATTATAACGCTACATTTAGGCAGAGTTACATTTATTACCGGAATGTTAGGGGGCTAAAGGCGAAGTTATGTAATTTATTTTACAACACTTCTATTATTATTTACAATCCTCAATTTGCGTATAACACCAATACTTAACTCTTATTAATATATTAATAAATCTAATTTAGGCACTTGGTCCTGGCTAACAACAATTGAAATTAAAAAGTAAATGTGTCGCTGCATGTGTAGCCTTAATTCATCTCTTTTGCTTTTTTACTTGTAATTAAACAACTTTGTTAAATTATAATAATTATTTAAATATATAAATTTAGTTTGTATAGAGTCATCCTTCTACTTAAGTTTTTACTCTGTCAAAATCTTCAACATTTATCTTCAACAATTGTAAAAATTAAGCAACCCTGTTATTGGCACTTTGGACTGTTGGGTTTATGTAATGGCAAATAAATAATAAACAAATAAATAACAGGCAACGATAAAGGTATCAAAATTGCGATAACTAAAATAGCGACAGTACACTAAGAAAAAAAAAATACTTTTACTAAATTAACAATTTCTTTGTTCAAGAAATTCAAAGTCGATCACATATTTTATTATCATTAATTTCTGAAGAGAAAAGCATCGATTTTTATCATTGGATAATAGATAAACAAGAGAATAGCTTTATTTAAATTAAGTAAAAATTATTTCAATCAAATTAACAAGTTCTTGAGCTAAGAATATATATTCTTGAAAATTTTCAAGAACATGAATTCTTGTATCAAAAAAATCTGGAAAACGGTCAACCCTAAAGGTCATCCCTGCAACTTCCCGCTAATTCCATAAATAAGCTCTTAAAATTGCATTTATGACGTTTTTGAGCTTTTCGAGCTCAAAAATATAATTTATGTTATTTCGAGCTTTCTGAACTCATAGAGTTAGCTGTTCTAAGTTTTTGAGCTCTTCGAGCTCAAAAGTCTGATAGAAGTTTAATGAAACAGTATTTTAAAAATTTTTAAACTGCAATAATTGCTGAATGAATAAATCGATTTTCACGCGGTTGGCAGTATTCTACGCAGTTTTTCAGAATCTATGATATACTTCTAAACACAAACTGATCGAACCAAAAACCTTAGAGAAATTTGAAAAATTCACTTTTTTCGAATTTTTTCGACAACGATAACTCACAGACTAATCAACCGATTTTCACGTTCTTGGTGGCGATCAACGTAATTTTTTGGGCTCTAATAATTATTTTATTTCATCAAAAACAATCCAAAAAGAAATGCCAAAGTTTTTCGTTTTTGATAACTCTCAAACGAATCAACCGATTTTGACGGGACTGGTGGCAATCGACGTGGTTTTTTAAACTTAAGAGCTGATTAATTTTTGGAATTGATCCGTGAAGCTGTTTAGAAGTTATTCCAAAAAAAAACGATTTTTTGAAAATTTTATTTTTGAGATTTCTCAAAATCTAGAAAACCGAATCGATTCAAATTTTTACGAAATTTAATGGCAATTATACTCTTTGGATCGCCACCTATTTCGATCCGATCGGCCGAGCTGTTCAAAAGTTTTAAGAGGTTCATACAACACCGCACGGATACCATCGCGGGAATAGTCAAGGAAGCTTCCTGTGACCTTAAAACGTCGAGATCTGATGAAAACTCGATTGTCGCAAAACGGGGTAAAACCAATAACTTCCTGATTTTTGAAAATTTTCAATTTTCTTAATGGGAAGTTAAAAATTTTCTTGATAAAAGTATTTTTTTTTCTCAATGTAGCGACACAATTGTCTTATGATTTATTTCAAAGAAGATTTGTTAATTATTAACAAATCTTATTTGAATGAAATAAATAGACGAATTCAATCAAATAAACCAAAACAAAATAGTATTTGGTTACCCGTGTGGGTGTACCCTCGGAGATAGTACTCCTACCCCAGTTCCCTGAGGCCTAGCCGACACTTAGCCAGTCCCGGAATACACGGACGGACTAGACTCGCTCGGGGCGGTGAAGATTCCGATCTCTAACACTCACTGCGTACTTCCTGATCAAGGCCCGAAGTGGCTGGCTCCTGATCCGCAATCTAATACCACTCAAGTGCCTCTTTTGTTATCATATATAACATTCATAATGTTATACCTGGCTTTTCGCCACTTTTAACTAACACTTGTTTCTTTTTGCGTTCAACTCTTTTTATAATCAACATGTTCTCCGCTTTTTATTATCAACACGTTCTCCGCTTTTTTATAATTGCCATCTCCTTTTTGCACATAACCTCTATTCTCAATGCGGCTGTGGACCGACTTGTGCTTTCTGTACTGTATTCACCCTATTCCTCACTCCTTTCTATCGGTTGTTGGAATAGTGGCGATGGGGAAACCACAGAGAAAACCCATGCCAGTACAGTCGGCTACCGGAGCGACCTCCGACGGTTGGTGTTGGAACTATTCGAACAACCGTCGGGGATCGAACCCTTGCCTCACAAGATGCACGAACGAACTAACGGGGATAATGACTTAGTCCGCTCGGCCGTCATGCCGCTCGTAAAAATTTTTTAATATTTTTTTTTTCAGATTTCTTTAAGACTATTTTAAGATTTTTCAAGACTATTTTCTTAAAATCGTCTTGAAAAAATCTTAAAATAGTCTTAAAAAAATCAAAATGATTATTAAAAAATCTCGGAATTTTTTTTTTTGGCATCTTAAAAGAATCTTAAAATAGTCTTAGTTTGTGTCACGTTTAAGATCTTAAACGAACGACAATTTTAAGACGATTTTTTTTTACACGGGTAAAAGTAATCCAAATTTAAATGGAACAACTTTTTCATATTAAATACGTATTTTTAAGTTATTTTAAATGAATCTACAAATTTAAATCAAACAAACTGTTTTGTCTGTGTAATCAGTATGATAATAATAGTTAGCACGATCAAGATGATGATGACCAGCATAACAATGATAATGATGATGATGTTGATGATGATGAAAGTCATTGATAGAAAATGTCTTATTACTTACCATTTGATAAAGACCAATCCTTGACCTTAGTTACATAAACAAGCCAAGGCACTTCATCTGTTCCAAAAGGATTAACTTTATGTATTTCATTCCCCATAACACTAACTACATTCATAAAAATTACAAGAATAAAATTTTTTCTTAAAATAGACATAATGACGTTTTTATGTTAAAATAGTGACTTAACAAAGACATAATATTTCTGGCAAAGAAATTCATTTATATATCCACTACAATTCATAAATCGATCAATTATGCTTTTTAATACGATATAATTATAGCTTTTATCACTTTTTTATAACAATCGCATCGTTATCCATCAAAAGTAAATAAATTTTTTATAACTTCGGGTCACATTAAACGATCATCTAATCACTTATTTATCACTATAATTGTTCTATTATCAAATTTTCCACAGAACTATCGTAAATATAAAAAAAAAACCGTTTATTATCAATAATTATCTTTAAGATCATAAGCATTAACAAACGGATGTTATTATAGTTATTATCATTAAAAGTTTAAAATTATAAATACTTTTATTACCGTTTATTCAATATTAACAATAAAGATTATTATAAATTAATTATTATAAAACGAGTAAAGAAACTTTAAATATAAATATTTATTCCAATAATATAACATGACTGATTAAGAATAGAATTAAATTCTGGTCTTGAAAAAGTAAAAAGACATTTATACCAGGATATATAATTGTAGTTAGTAACGATGCTTATGAGCATCATTCACACATAGTATCTCTACTTGTGTAGTTATACGTATTACCACATTCAAAACG